ACAGTTCTAGATTGGCATCCAAACTTCAAAGATTGGACAGATTGGACCAAGATCATACACCTTGCCGCATTTCAAAATCGAAAATGTCTGAACGATCAAACTCACTCTCGAAAAACAACTCCAAAATGAACACTAGAGCAGCACCTGAGTATGTCCAGCCTGCAAATACACCAAGACGAGTTGTCAAGAATACACTTGATGACCACGAATTTTCCTTGGATCTATCGCATCCAATCCATAACAAGGAAAACATCCTACCTAAACAACGAACACATATCTCAGCAAACTCCCAGCATGAGAAGATTGCTCAAGCTGATTATAATGAAAGACAAGTGCTTGCAGAGCTCGAAACCCTTATCAAGGACCATCCAGCAAACGCATCTATCAAATCTGGCAGATTTGCTAAAGCTGCCAGCCCAACCTTTACAATGTCCACTACTGTTAATAACTCATTCGCAATTCCGGAAGTCCACAACATCACCAAGTTGGTAGACACCACATCAACTTCTTTACTTAGAAAAGTTGAAATTCTTAAACAACCCGCCCACCCTATGGGAAAAGAGGAGGTCGACATCTATCGCTCCATTGACGAACTTCAACAGCAAGTGGCTATATTGTTGAATGAACGCAAGGAGCGCGATTTTGTTATAAACTCTCTCCAGAAGGAAAGAAGGGAGCGAGATTCTATTATGTCTTCTCTTCAGAAAGAACTGAATGAGAAGAGCGAGCAAGATAACATCATATCTACTCTTCGCAACGAAAAAAAGGCACAAGACGCCATCATATCTACCCTTCGCAACGAAAAAAGAGCACAGGATGAAGTCATATTCAACCTTGAAGACGAAAAACGCGCACACGATGCAATTACAACCACTCTTCGCACACAGAACAATCACATGAACGAGACCATACGAGAACTCGAACGTGATGCCCATACACAGCGCCAAGAAAACGAGCAGATGATGAAGTCCATTTCTAACGTCGAGGCTATGGCGAGATCACATCAGACAGAGAAGAAGGCAATGGAAAAGACCTTGGCCGAAATGTCTTCCTCAAATGAGGAACTCAAAGCCGATATTGAGAACATTTCAAAGCAACGAGATATGGTTCTTGCTCGTTACAAGAACTTAGTCGAGCGATTCGACACTCTACAACATTCAGCGTCAGCTGAGACATCACAACGTCCAGTAGATGCTGAGACGTCACCATCCAAGGAACATGACAACATTGAGCTATTACCAATTCAACTACCTAAGACGAATGAGACATCGAATGGGCAGGAGAAGATGGCCCAGCATGATGAAGAAGAGGAGGAGGAAGATTGCGATGAGGCTGACATGACCATACGTCCGACCATGGAGCCCCAACTTGCACTGGAGCAGATCATGGCAAACGTACGCAAACAAATTGAGCAAATGAGTGCTCAACATGCAGCTAAATCGGCTGAATTACGTGCTCTGGATAAGAGCAAAAATCTCAGACTGAGAAGATCACTTGCGGAATCCTTGAAGTTGCTTGTCGATCAGATTTCTTCACACAGCGATTTCCTATATCGCTTGAAGGATGTTTCCTATGCATTCTAATAATTCGAGAGAAGAAGGGAGGATGGATTGAAGTGTCAGATTATAATGTTTATAATGGAGTTAGGGGTATCAAATGGTATCCGGTATGGAACTTGGTGTTTTTCTTCTGTTTGCTCTTCCTTTGCTTGTTTTATATTCAATGGAGTAACATGAAACACTATTGGGCTCTGGACGAGAGCTTTTTCTCATCTTCTTTTTCTTGTGCTTGTTATTTTTGGACAGGAGTTTTCAAGGGATAGGATAATGGAGTGGTGTGTTGAGATTTTTTGTTTTCGAAGGAGTTATTTCAGGAAAATTCAGTATCGATACCACATCATGAGGGACTTGGGTTAAAAACGGGACAAACGGATCACAGTTAGCATTGTTAGTATAGGAATAACAATGAACATTAAAATGAATAAATACTCTTGCCAATCATTTGAGGTGATTCTTTTTGTAAATCTTTGAGTCTGCCTTCCCCCAATGATCCACGTGGTAAAAGACAAGGTGATTGGTGTGTATGCGTGGGGAAATTCAACTTCGTTGATATAAATATGTAAGATGAGCTTGCTCACTAGGAAATTTGCGATGGGATATTGGACTATCCAGCAACTTGAAGGATGGGAAAGATAGGTGGGAGGGAGTATGGAAGGGAATGTGAGGAAATGGAAAAAGATAGGTTGGTGAGTTGGTGTTGACTCGGTCAGAAGAGAAGAGAAGGGATGGGATGAGATGGGATTAAGATGCATATTCATTCTGGACTTCATGAGCTAATAGCTTGTCCCCGTCGCCAGCGAGTCGACATGTGGAAATATATGGACTTTAAGAACGATATGAACATGGACAGAGATGCAAACGAACTGTGGTATACGATGCTAGAAGATATATTCATATATCAACTTCATGTATTGTGGATATTACTCTACAGCAAATCAGAGTTCGTAAGCAAGAAGCAAAGTATAAAATTCATTTCCAGGGGGTATCAAAATTATTCAAACAGCCTTCTTTCCCTCAAACGCCAATGCAGCCCGTTCCATAAATGCATTGAATGCCTTGATCTGTTTGAGGACGCCTCCATCATCACTTGCACTGCTTGCCTCAGAAGCAATCCGCTTCAACATGAGCTCTATATTTGTTTTCCCGTCATCCGTATTATCGGAAGAGGATTTTCCTCGCTCAACTGCAAGTTCGATATCATGAACTGTTGTGTTGAGAACTTCCCGTTGCTGTGATGTAAGATTAGTGACAGGCAATTTTGACAAGACGGGAGCATTACCTGAGCATCATGAGAATTTTTCTCGTGAGCAATTCGGATTCCATCCATGCGTAAAGCGACTTTCTCTCGTTCTGCTCTCACACGAAGGATTTCCTCCCGCAAAGAGAGCTTCTTTTTCTGGCCTTCACGCAGACGTTTCTCAAGAGAGTACGAATTGTCGAGGTTGATTGTCTTGGAAGACATTAGCGGAGAAGGCAACTATTAGTAGTTGAGTACTTACATGTTCCAGAAGGCGGACTCGCAATTCCTTACCAAAACTATCTACAGCTCGCATTTTGGTTTTGTATTCAAGTCTTTGAGCAGCGTCCTGAGTTTTAACAGCATTATCCCCAAGAGTTTCTAAGCCAGCAGTAACTAACTCTTGGCAAATTTGACCAAGAACATCCACCGCATTGACACCTGCTCTTGTCGCACATGGTATTTCGGAATTCAGGATCTCAGCATCCGAATCGTCCTCATCATACACAGGACCTTTCGTCAAACGATGTACAATAACAGGTATCGGGCTTCCTTCGCGAACCTTCTGTTTCTTGTTCTTTTTCTCTGCTCTTTGAGGTTTGGATTTCGGAGGTGCTGGTTGGCGTTGCTGTACTGGGCTAGTAACTTGCCGAACCCTACCTCGCTTTTTCTTTGCGATGGGAGATCTTGGAGGTGCAGCATCTTCTGGAATAGATTCATCGGAAGCAACAATACTTCTAGATATTCTCCGTCCTCGACTTTTCTTCAACGTTACTGCGGCTTCATAATCGTCTATTGCCTCCGCTTGCTCGGTATTATTTTCAATCATTTCTTCCTGTTTGGCTCCTGCATCTTCCTGCAAAGCCGATTTTCTACGAGATCGTCTCGGTTTTTGAGGTAGAACTTCCTCAATGTCATCGTTAGTAGTATCCAGTGTGTTAGCTGCAGTAAGAATTGATTCATCTACGGCTAAAGGTTCAAAAGATGGCTCGTCTCTCTTTCTTTTGTTCCGTGATGGGCGTGGTGGCTTTCTATGAGATTTCGTTGCTTTCACTGCAGCGAGTGCGGCTTCTTCTTCCAACGAAGTGTTTGCGCCCACCAACGAGTCTTCCTCGACCTCGATCTCGACCTCGACTTCTTCCAATCCAATTTCATTTGAAGGATCCCTTTCGATGGACTCAATTGGTTCGGAAGGGAGATGGGTAGGTGATAGGACGGTCTCTGCCATTCCTGATTCTAAAACATTATCCTTCGACGTTTCTAATATTGACAAGTTTGAATGGTCCGTCACAGGTTGCTCTAGCTCTTCATCTTCTGGTAAATCATATACATCTTTCCTAGCAGAACTCCGAGAAGACCGCATGCTCCTGGTAGAGGAAGATGGTGGTTCATCAGTCTCCAACTTCCTTCTCTTTGCGGAAGTATTTGCATCGTTCCCAGTATTAGATCTTATAACATTATTCGATTGTAAGCCCAGTATATTCGAGGATCTTTCACGACTTCTGGTCGCAGTAGCAGGCGTTTGACTTATGGGCTGTGAAGGTAACTCGGGTTGAGGAGTTTCTGGATTTGCTGGAGCTTCTGGAAGTGAATGTGCAATTGTTGGAGCTGGAGTTGGGACTGGAGATGGTTCTGCTGCTGGTGGCGGTGCAGCAAAAGCTGGTAACATAAAACCGAAGTCGACATCTTTGACTTGACGTCTACACAATCGATGGTCAATTCCGCATAACGGAGAGGGGTTAATTCTTAGAACTTACTGGGCACCTCCTCGTAACCGTTGTTGCATGCGCTCCTCTCTAGCTATGAATCAATTAGCATTAACTTATTCCAACAACAAGTATCGGCTTACTGGACTCCATTTCTACTTGATTGGGAGAGGATGATATCTCTCTCTCGTCATTGAAGTCGCGTTTGTCTTATGTTTCAATAGATTGAGATTGTAATATTATAAATGCGCACTACAGCCTGCTTACCCACACCCTATCACGCTTGGTTGCCCCAGTGATGGATTAGCATCACCCAATATATTACTATACACACGACTAGTTGAATCCAATCATTCAAATGCTCATACAATCCTTTGAGGTGGCGTTGTGAAACGCGTTGTATTGCTATTGAAATGTTTGCTTCAGTGTTGCCAGGTCGGTTCCCTTTCACAATCTTCAAAGGTCTTTCCATTTTGCTATTCAACGTATGGTGCCATAATGGATTATATACCAATTCCCTCCTTCATCAGCAAGGCTCTTCAAGGAAGAAGTCAACCCAGGAATCAAGATGTATCATCAAAAACTCCCAATCCCTTGAGTTATCCTAAAAGCTCTTTGCCTTATGATTCTCAATTATTCAAGAACCCATCATCGGAATATCGAGGTTGTCCCTTCTGGGCATGGAATACAAAGCTCGACAAGGGACAACTTCTCCGTCAAATTGATTATTTCGCAGAAATGGGGCTGGGGGGATTTCATATCCATGTTCGCACTGGTCTTGATACGGAATACATAGGAACAGAATTCATGGACTTGATACGTGCTTGTGTCGATTATGCCGAAACTAAAAACATGTTGGCATGTTTATACGATGATGATAGATGGCCTTCTGGAGCTGCTGGTGGGAAGGTTATTGAGAAATATCCTGAGCATAAAGGAAAACATCTCCTTTTTACACCTCATGCTTACGGAACGATACCACTTGGCGGGTAAGTTATGAACCAATCAAATCCCCCCCATGTTCTGATTCAATTCATCAGAGGTGCTCCCGCGTCTGCCAGAGCTAGTAGGAGTGAGAATGGACACCTCATAGCAAGGTTTGATATTGAATTGGATAACAATGGTGCACTCAAATCAAGCCGCATCCTGAAAAATGACGAGCATGGGGAGAATGTGTGGTACGCCTATGTTGAGACGAATCCCAATTCATCTTGGTTCAATGATCAAACATATATCGATACTCTTAGCGAAGATGCAATGGCTCGATTTATTGAGATGACGCATGAAGTTTACAAGAAGAAGTGCGGCGACAAATTTGGAACTGTTATACCCTGCATATTCACCGACGAGCCTCAATTCGCTACCAAAATACGTCTCCCTCATCCCCGAGCTAACGATGATATATTTCTTCCATGGACCACTGATTTACCGGAAAGTTTCGAGAAAGAGTACCATGCTGACATTGTCGAATCCTTGCCACAAGTTATATGGAATCTTCCAAATAACAACCCAAGTTTATCAAGGTATCGATATCATGATCATGTTTGTGAAAGATTTGTCTCTGCTTTTATTGATCAAATTAGTGGCTGGTGTCGGAAAAACAACTTGTACCTGGATGGACACATGATGGAAGAGCCAACGCTTTATTCTCAAACTACTGCTCTTGGCGAAGCTATGCGATGTTATCGAAACATGGATATGCCGGGCATAGACTTACTTGTTGATGGTGTCGAATACAATACAGCGAAACAAGCTTCCAGTGTTTCTAGACAAATGGGTCGTCGAGGTACAATGTGTGAAATATACGGTGTTACTCATTGGTATTTTACATTTGAGGGCCACAAAGGTTGTGGTGATTGGCAAGCAGCTCTTGGTATTACTTTTCGTGTTCATCATCTTGCTTGGCTAAGCATGGCTGGAGAAGGGAAAAGAGACTATCCGGCGTCCATCAATTATCAAAGTCCCTGGTACAAAGAGTATGGTTATGTCGAAGATCATTTTGCAAGAGTTGGTGTTGCAATGACCCGAGGAAAAGCTGTTACTCGAGTTGGTGTCATTCATCCGATTGAGAGCTATTGGTTATGTTTTGGTCCTGATCAAAGTGGTGATGAGGCAGGGTCTCGTGATCGTGCATTCTCCGACCTCACAAACTGGTTACTTCATGGTTTAATTGACTTTGATTTCATATCTGAGAGCTTATTGCCAACTCAAGTGAGTAAAACCCAGAAAGGCAAAAAGCTGACAATAGGATTTTGTGAATACGAAGTGATTATTGTGCCAAATCTACGTACCATCAGATCATCAACTCTTAACATCTTACAAGCATTCTCAAAGGCTGGCGGGCATGTGATCATTGCTGGTAGTTCACCCGAGTAAGTGATAACTGCTTTACAATTATTGGCTCTGCTTATTCCTGGCTTATGATTTTTGTGGTTGAAGAGTACTAATTAAATTCTCTAGATTAATCAATGCCGCAGCCCCATCAGAGAAGCCTACAATCAAGCATAGCATTAACGTATTCTGGAGCCAGCAGAATATTTTGTGTGCACTAAATGAATATCGTGATCTTCGAGTAACGGATGAGAATGGCTCATCTACTGAACATTTGTTGTATCAGATGAGGGAAGACGGAGCTGAAAGATATATCTTCATCTGTAATACAGATCGTAATTCTCCAACCATGACGAAGATTGAGCTGAGAGGCCATTGGGATGTTTCCGAAATGGACACTTTCAATAGAGAAGAGACTCTGGTGGGCAGTCAGCTTTCAAAGGACTGGACACAATTGCATTATAAGTTTGAAGGATGCGCAAGTCTTCTCATGCGATTGAGACCAAGAACAGGGCAATCTATCACAGAGCTCTTACCATTGAATAAGATTTCTGAGAAAATCCCTATCCTTGAAGAAGATATTACTCTCGCAGAAGTAGAACTTTCTGAGCCAAATGTCCTCATACTTGACTATGCATCCTACAAACTAGATTCTGATGAACATTGGTCAGATTCCACCGAAGTTCTCAGGATTGATAATGCTATTCGGGATCTACTGAAATTACCTCACAAAGGCGCTGCATTTAGACAACCTTGGTCAATACCGGCTTCGGAAAGAGCACCTAAGACGCACGTTACCATGCGTTTTCTGATAATTTCAGCATTTATGATCAACGTGCCAACCAAACTTGCATTGGAATATGTTCAAGGAATGAAAATAAAGTTAAATAGGACCGAGCTGGATTCCCCAAAATTTGATGGTTGGTGGGTTGATGAAGACATCCGAACTTTGGAAATACCAGCCTACACAATCAGACCTGGAATGAATACTCTTACACTTTCTTTTCCCTTTGGCATTCTGACAAATATTGAACGTCTTTATTTGTTGGGCGACTTTTCTGTTGGTAACAGGCATAATAGCTCTCTTGGTACCGATTCATATTATCTCCAACAACCGAGAACTGTATCTTGGGGAGATATCACAAAGCAAGGTCTCCCATTCTATGCCGGAAACTTAACCTACATCTGCGATATATCAATACCACCAACAAGCCCTAACAAAACTATTCATCTTTCAATACCTGAATATTCTTCACCAGTACTCGTCGTGGCTTTAGCTGACACAAAACAAAAGCTTGGGCGAGTAGCTTTTCAACCTCGAACACTAGATATCACAACTCTTGGACCAGGAAAACATAAGATTGCAATAACAGCTTTTGGGAATAGGTATAATTCTTTTGGGCATGTTCATTTGCCTGATGGACTTACGAACGGTTGTTCCCCGGATACCTGGAGAAGTAGGTTGTCCTATTTGCCTCTTGCCCTCATGATCATCTACTAATTAAATTAGCTGGTGGAGATTGGTGGACAGATACTTACAATGTAAAACCTGTTGGTATATTGGAATGTCCGAGTTTGAAGTCGGACATGAAGCTTATTTATGCGGCCGACGAGAACGACGAGGAAGGATGGGAAGTGATTGAATGAGCCCTGTCTCGCGAAACAATTTTCTACGTAGCAATAATTTCTTTAACTTTACAGGTCTACTCTATCTCCACTGTTTATCGACCCAGGAGTTCTGAAAACTGTCCTTGAACCTGCTGAATTCATCCTTTCCAATTTAATGTCATGTGAAATCCCTTCTTCAACAGCTACCACATTTTCAGTTCCATTTCCATTTCCCCCTTCATTCTCGCGTCTCTTTTGAATCCTTCTTTTGATCCGAGGTAGAAGGTTGAAGTATCCACCACAAGCAAATATTCCACACCAAAGAATAAACTCCGAGGCGTAAATCACTATCCCAAGTATATCAAGGTGTGGTTGAAAGACTAAGACATTAGTTTTCATTTAAAGATGGACCATGAAGAAACATTAGACTTACAAACAGAAACTAGAGAAAATACATCTCCAGCAGCATCAATACCTACAAAGATGAATGATATACCACGGACAGTACGATGAACATAGATATCATAGTAGTGTGTCAATACTCCAGCAGACAATAGAACAGCTGATGATACACCCATCAATATGACGGGCCATTCGAGATCTCGACGTTGACCGGCCTGATGTGATCTTTAGTGACTGCAACCAACTTATTGCCGTGCATGATATTTAGCATACCTTCAACCCCGCCACAAATGCTACTTCAATTCCTTCAAAGACCATCCCAAGACCTCCCGTAGCCAAAACACATTTCTTCAAACTCCAACCCTAAATCTCAAGATTAGCACTCCATAATGCATTCCTCACACACAACCCCTCCCCTCCGTTCCTCCATCCTAATCAGAAGATAAAAAACATACTTCACTATAATACAAGCACTGTCCCCAAGTGATCAAACTCAAAACAGTTAGTATCTGCGGCTGCACTAACAGCGCAACATTGAATCCGGATGCGATATTAAATGCCCCTAAAGGCACGCCAGCACAAGCCCAGAGTAGCATCATAGAGCGTTGGAGCCCGATTGTGTGGTGCCGATTATAATTTATTATGATTTGGGGTATGAGCTAAGGGGCTGTTAGCTTGAGAATTGAGGGGAGTTACAGCGGAGAATATGGAGGTGGAAAGAGAGAGGAAGTGATGGGGCAAGGAGGGGGTAAAACGCGGGGAGGGACGTACTTGGACGGACCAACATATTGCACCTAATGTTCCGAGAACATTAGCAGCGATAGGAATATCCATTGAGAATAGAATTAATAGATTTGACAGATTGTATTGAGATTGAGAAATGAGAAATTTCAAAGAGAAATCGATTTGTTTTGTTCGAGACTAAACTTTATGATAGCGATATCGGACAACGCCACAGCTAAAATCTTGGACGACTCAATGTATCATCAATGTCACCCGTCAAGAGTTTGTGATCCTGGAAAAGGTGCCCGAAGAGCTTAGAACCCTCACTGAATGAGCATTTAGCATCAAAAGATAGACCTGTGGTCTGAGGATTTACCGGAGCCGGCTGCTAGAACAAGCGGGCACTCCCAATTCGGATAGTCTTATCTAGGAGAGCATTATCCGTCGGCTAGTGGTAGGGGGTATCACGAAGATTCAGTCTTTGGCGAGGATTAACGACAATTGCTCGATATTATTGACTACTTAGTACCTAGGGAATTTATAGCCGGATTTATGGTGAATGATATCTTGAGCCGAAGTAAATGCAGATTGTCATGAATCATTCAAGCAGATCATTTCAAAAGGGTTATTCTTCCTATTTTTATTCCATCCTTTACTTGCAAGGGCATTGCCATTATCATATTCCCTGGGAGATCCGAACTAATGATAAATACTATACAAATCAAGTAGCTATTACTTGTAAACCAGCAAAGTGGAGATTTCGTAATTTCCCGATGAATAAAAACATTGCCGCAGGTTCTTCTATCTACACTATCAAACATACTTGGCCAGTAGCGAGTTCGAAGATTAGAAGCTCTAAAAATGGGCAGCTCTTGAGATAACGAAGCTGGGTGCTTTTGGGTGAGAGGTGAGCACCTGGAAGGTGCGATGCCTTGCTATAGCCTTCCTGTATGATACTCGTATTTTTGAGGCCAAGCACCTGGCGCGTGAAGGTGGTGAGAGAAAGGCATATGCGGGTCTTGAGCAGCCATGCCATGACTCTCATCATCGTCCACGGAAGATCGAGAAAAATTTATCACTAATAGTTTCCCTGCCCTGCTCTTTTCTTTGCCTTCTTTCTTCATCCTGTTTCTCGTAGATCTTTCCTAGCTGACCTGCAACTTGTTCACCAGCTTCGATTTCGGCTTGGATTGCTCGCTCCTCGACTAGTCTTTCATCATCGTTCAGTCCCTCAAGTCGCTTCTTAAACGAAGCTTGTACCTTTGGCGAAAGATCAGATGCCTTGAGCTTAGTATTTTCTTGTGCAGCATCCGATTGACCAGGTCTTGATTTTGATATGAGTGGAGGAAATATAGGCACAGGTCTTCCTTCTGCCTTTGCTTCTTCAATCTGTTTCTCTTGGTCAATCATTCGATGGTATAATGTATCGGCATGCATTTGAATCTGTTCATCGACTGCGGGTGGACGATCGTATGTCGATAAGTAGCCTAAAGCTTTCAAGAATTTCTATACCAATTAGATTTCGAACTTCTCATTCTTGGTGCGTGCAAAACTTACACCTTGCATAGTATAACATCTTTCAAGCTTCCTATTCTCCTCTCTGCACATAGTTAATCGAGCTTGCCATCCTCCTGAACGAAAACACTCATTCACATCCCATTGTTCCAAAGCGCAATTCTCCAAAGCTGCCCTTCCAATCTCTGCCTTTCTATATTTGTATCCGTCGATAACATCTTGAATCTTTTCGGCATCCGATTTAGCTGCTTGCTCGACCTCTGCTTGTGGTTGGTACGTTTTCCATAAGTGTGCGTAGCGTCCATCTTGGTATAAACTCTGCGAAGGCACACTGGGTTTTGTAGGATCCTCAATCGTACTTGTCGATGTGGGCTCCGGCGTTTTTGTTTGCGACGAGACTGTTGTATCCGCAGATTTTGTAGAGTCGTACTTGACTGGTGATTCTTTTTTAAGAAATTCTCGTAAACTAGGATCGAGATTCTTTAGAGGATCTTGGGATTTATCCTTGTCGCCATCATTTGAATCACCCCAAAACCAACCCATTTTGAATCTGTGAATCTTTGAGAAACGCGGGGGACCAAAATTTCCAGAGCTGGAGAGCTTGTTCAATGGGGTGCTTAGTCATCAGGGTGGATGGGGAAAACTAGCCCAGAACCTAGCGATGGCACGTTAGGAACGACCTTAAACTTTGAGGTTACAAGATCTACAACAATAGAGCTTTGCAGTCATATATCACTGGATCGAGTTACAAAGTTTGGTTATTTTGTTATTCGCTTTTCTGAATTTTTTAGATATTATTTTCCTCCACAACCGATGTATGGTTCAAACTAAAACATCGAACGAGACATTCGCTCCGAGAGTGGTATATGTTTTTATTCAACCCCGACCGCCACTCCAAGAGTGGTATATATTAAACCCAAGACGCTACCAATAACCAAGCAATACACAGTCCTTTCCACCCACATTTCCCTTAGACACACGGGTGGCCAATCGACGCTTCTCTAGCTCACATATTGTATGGACACTGTGGAAGCGGGCGGTCCTTCCCACATCGATAACAGCCCTTCATACACACCGAGCCCTCATGATCGCTACCGCCACAGTTAAAGCAACCCTGATCAAAGTACTGAAGCACTCCAGTGGTCCGGAATTTCTCTTCTTTATCGATAAAACACCAGCTTTTCTACCATTAGGCATTGTCTTCGGCTGAATGGTTGGGGGTAAGGGACCCTTAGCTTTCTCACAAATTGCTTCTGTTTTAGCACGATCTTTCAGAACCTTTGGCGAACTTGGATCACCAAGAAGGTTTTCGGCGACGCTGACGATAGGCTTAGGTGGCCTCGGGATTGAGGTAGAAGGTTGAGAAGGCTCTTCTTCCTCCTCGGTTTTGATCATGTTATCAAGTGCTCGTTCAGGCTGGCGTGGTGCTCCAGAATTGCTCATACGTGATTGGCGATAAGTGTCTGGCAACTCATTTACTACGCCCGTGAATCTGTCTGAGATATCCCATTTTTTGTGGCTCTGGACAGACCACTGAGCATAGACTCTTCTTGTAAAGGTTGAGTCAATGTATTTAGCGGAAGATGATGTTGGAAATCACCAAATGTAGTAGTTACTGCGTTCAGAAGTACACTTGGCTGCTGTAGAATGCAGCCATTGACTCCATCAAACATGGATTCCTCTTTTATTGGTGATCTGGGTTGTGATTGATGAGGTTGTTGTGAACCCGAGTAAGCATTACCTGCAAAACGATCATAACCACCGAATATCGATTCCTCTTTAGGCAATACCTTGGGCGGCTGTTTAGAGACAGCGGGATTGAAGTTATAGAATGTAGAAGTATTGCTATGTAGAGTTGCATTTGGCCGTTGTGTGATAGAGCGACTAGGGCTACCAAATATAGATTCCTGCTTCAATAGAAGTTCGGGCTGCGATTGATTATGTGTTGAACTCAAGTGAGCACTTTTCGCAAGGCGATTAAAGCCACCAAATATAGATTCTTGTTTTATTCGAGGATTTTTGTGTGATCCAGGATTGGGATTGCTAGGCTTAAAGTTGTCGAATGTAGACGTACTTGGCTGCGATTGCTGGGCATGTGGTGCATAAACATTGGCACCGAGGTGATTACGTCTCGTGCTTATTGTCTTTCCACTACCAGTGACTCCACCTCCACGATCGCCGCAACCAGAAGTCTCATGTTGATTACCACGTGGTGGAGGATGTTCGTTATTGGCGCTATCCATTTGCGGACCATAGAAGCTTTGCTCCTCCTTGATGTCGGCAGGCCTATTGTGTTCTACGAATACATAGAAAGGACGATCGCCATTGGCGCCACCCATCTGCTGGTAATTGGAAGTGTTCATTTGACCATCGCGGATATCCTTTTGTTCTGCCTTCCATTCAAATTCGGAAACTGAATCTCCAGCATTTAGATCTTCGTCTGGACCCCAATCATCTCTCTTGAGAATACCAAATCGTTCCTGGTAGAGGTGCAATGTTTCTTCCTTCTCTCTGACCTGATTATCTAAAGTCGCGATTCTATCTTGAAAAGTGACCATTAAATTGGGTGGTAACTTGCCATCAATAGTACCATTTCCAGTGTGCGCAGGATGATTCTTGACAGCCTCTCCAACATCTGGATGCGATAAAGCACCGTCTGGAATAATTCCTGGAGTGTCCCACGTTGGATCTCTGTCCTCTTCCTTACGCCAATCAAGTCCTCCTAGTCCTTCATTGAATCTTTTTTAAGCATAAAGCGGAGCATCGGGTGTCCATGGTCTATAGTCCTTCTGCCAAAATTCGGGCATTTCGCGAATATCTTGCGAATGTGCCAAGGGAGGCTTGTTGTTGCGCATCTTTAAGCGATAAAGCAAATCTCCGCCAGCTCTCTTCTTCGAATTTGTACAGAGCTCATGTGGATGATCAACAGTCTGACATCGAGGACATCCCAACAAAAAAGCATGATAGTCAATCGATTCCGCGCATTTCTTTAATTCGTGCCCGAGTCCCCCGCAAGCTGCGCAAACCAATTTCTCGCGTGGCCTATTTGGTGAGCCCGATCGATTAAGCTTTTTTCGAATTGAAAAAGGGTCCTGAGACTCATTTCCACGTTTGGTTGAGTTCAATTGGCGAGAAGGTGCGTTTTGACGCCGATGAGCTTGTGGAAATCCAGATGGTGGTGGTAGCACATTACTCGGGCTATATTGCTGTTCAATCGGACCAAATCTGATTCGTGCCTCCATATGGGCTTGTTGCCAGGGATCTCGATTTACTTGCGGCGGGTTGTGTGGCGCAGTTTGTTGTCCACCACGAGGGGCGGACTGGCTCCCCTTCGATCTGAAACTCTCTAGAAGCCCAGAACCACTACTGCGATTACTACTACGGCCACGGTCTAAGTTTCCACCTCTATATAGAGGTGTTCGATGTGTCAAATGAGCTGTCGGACCTCTGTGGTTATTTTCATAAATAATATCACCTTGATGCGAATCTTCGAACCATTTACTGATAGGGGTTCGGGCTCCGGTTGATCCTCAAGCATTTTTGCAATTTCTCTCAAGAGTTAGAGGCGTACCTCGCTTTGAGTTTGACTGTGAATTGTATGATTCGGAATCCATCTTGAATCCGTGTCACCGAAGACTTATTTGATAACGTTCTTTTCATTGAGAATTTGTTGAATGTGGTTCGTGAATTGTGACTCGTGATTTGTGACTTATGGTTCGTGGTTTGTGGTTTGTGATTGATTTTTGGATTGCTTGGATCGATCTTGCGTTGTTGTGGAGGAAAGGTGCGAGAACTTCCAAAAATACCTAGTGGCAAGCGAAAGGTGAGCCTTTTTTATTCACGTGTCGAATGATAGGAACTATCTATGCCTTTCTAGGCGGTATTCAGTCTCTTCGCATGTCTCTGGATTATCGGTAAAATTGCACAATCCCTAATACATATATCTATTTGAAGCCAAGTTTACAGGTATTACCATCCAAAGTCTTCACGATATTTGAAGTTATAAGATCTACAACAGCTATCCTTATGCAATAAATACACTATTTGTGGGAAACTAAGTATATTGCATAGGAATCAAGTCCTATGTTATCAAGAAGGAAACAAACAAATACATTGCACGGACTCTAAACCCATGATCTACCGCAAAGAAACAAATAAATCCTCACACGGGGGCCTAGCCCTCGTGCTATTAGTGAGGAAACATATGTATTCCCCAGAACCGAGTTTATAGTAGAAACGCCAAGAAAACCGCTGAGAAGGCTTCAATCCATACCTCTCTCCTCTGATCTTCGCCCTCAACTCCCTGTCGTTACCCACACCCTTTCGTCCAACAATATTTTACTCCTAATGCGGACCGAGCATATAGGTCGACAGCAACAGCTTGTCGAGATCAGAGGTTTTATGGGCAATCTTGGAGTTTATGGCCGCGGCTGCTCCATTTCCAACATCCTATCGTGCAATCCTTCTTTCTATGATTCTTCATCCCATAATTATACCGAGAGCTTTTGGGAAACACAATGGCAATGCCACCCGTCATCCATATGCTGTTATGGTTGATACAAAGTTCAGTCGGTTTCCCATTGGGCATAATGTCTGGTGCACAGGGTGGCCCGCTTGCAAAGCAATTCGGATTCGCAGATTTGGATCGTTATCCCTCCGTAACGTTGTTGAGTGGATGATTTTGACTATTGATTGGAACCATTGAGCCAGGAGGAGAATGTACGAATCGATCTCGATTAGTCGCTGGACGCTGATGATGAATGTCGGTATCAAGTAGATCTATAGGCGAAGCACCTCTCCATGTACGTTTGACACGATTTTTGATTGCCCAAAGCCATTGGCTGTCGCTACGATGGATAGGCATCGTTGATTGTCTTCTCAAATAAACAGATGGGAAGAATTAAATGAGTACAATTGAAGGAAATTATTTGATGATATCTTTATGATTCGCGGAAGAAGTTTGGATGATTGTTGGTTGTCAATTTGAATATTTTGACGGTTGGTGTTGTGGTTGATGGGAGAAGAAACGAAGAGCGAAGCAGAGCGACAGCAACAATCAATCACTTCACTTTCGTTTACCATTTTTCTTACCCACCAAATCTCTTCCAAAATTTGGTTACCTGGATAGTTGCCAGTTTTCTCACTTCTCTCTCATAATTGTAATGGTACTTCTGTAACTCACAATGCTTTTATGAGGTGATAGTGAGGCAGTCCTCACTCGTCATCTTCATGTAGAATTCCATGAAGTAAGTCTATATCTTCCTTAATAACAAGGCATAACTAGAAACTTTTGAAGCCTCTCCCAATAACCGGAATATGTTCCTATGTAAGACATCTATTGATGCTAGAGAGACTTCGCCAGTAGCGTTGTTAGCAACTGAATAGTTTGCAACTTGGGAAGAGAACGCAATAATTCGCCGTATATATATATTGACCTACAAGCAAAGCAAATCTTTAAAAAAGTCGTACCATTACATGTGACATCAGCCACGAAGTGTATATCCATGACTCTGCGCAATTGTAAAAGTTTTGATGGGCCATAGGCAAATTGGAAAACCTTATTTGGCGGTGATAGTGATCATCTCTTGTAATAGTAGTTACACGATTCGAGCAGTAAGCTTTAGCTAAACCCCTCATGCGAGCCCTGCCCACAGAATCTGGGAGCTCCTGTCGAGTTCGATTGAGTTGATCGAAGCTTCTCGGCGCATTACCAAAAATTCCTCCTTGCTCAATCATCAACGGTGCTGATCGCATGTTTGGATCGGGACTTTGTATCGCCCATGCAGAAATTTGTCCGTCACTGACAGAATGTATTCGGATTCGAGGCGAATCTCAAGCTCTATCTCGTGAGCTCCCGGAGCGAACATAGTTTGTTCGTTACGCGGGCATAGCGTATTGCTTTTCTTGTCCAAGAGTGGCAGTAGAAGGAGCAGTAACATCAGGAATGGCACCATCACTAGCAGCTGTACAATGAGCTTCCGTAGCGATGTCAACTGACATGGTGATATATCTCTTTTGCTCAGCCTATAAATAATCGCGTTCGGTTTGGACTGCACATTCGATAGCAGCATCGAAGAAAGTGCTTTTGTGCCAAGTATCCTCAACTCTTGTTCGTCTTTCTCATGAAATTGTGACAGGTGAAGGCACTGATCTCTATAGATGTTGTATATTATACCTCAATTACGGCCTGTAACGACTGAATAGTCCTCGTAGCCTCTTCAATGTTCAACATGATCCATACAATAGGTTCTTCTGTATTCGTGATAATTCGAGGACTTGCAACGATTTGTGGATGGGAAATGAGTGGACTATATCCTTATCTATTGTATTATTCCCATGAAGTGACAGATCAATCGCTGAAATCAACTCATAGTTTGAAATCTGATCATAGTCTAAATCCATCCATACTTTGTAATGGGGGAAGTGACAATAGAGATATGAAGTATCAGATTGAGGACAGGCTATTAATAATCTCAGAAGTAGGACGCTTTTTGTTCTGAATGTTGAACCCCAAAGTCTTAGATTCAACCAGACAATAAGATGAACCAAAAGCAAGATGCTCCTCGGTTCTGTAGTTCAGAGAGCGAGATCGTGTCCGGATCTGAAGTCATCATATCTGATTATTGTCAAGCAGAGCATTTCACATTCAAAGATTTTCAATATTGAGCTCAAGTAACCATCTATTTTTTTAATTTTCCAAGCAAAACACCAAACTCCATAACTCCATAACGAATCATTAAACGCCAAATTTATCTTTTTTTTTTCTGATCTCTTCTTCTGCACTGCAATACGGATCAATCAGTTTCGAAAATTCCAACCATCATCCTTTGGCGCTTCTTCTATCATTCTAGTATCTGTTTTTCTGCTTATTTGACTCGCTCTATCGAGAGACTCGCGTCTGGAACTGCGCTTTTCGGGATCGCGAGAACTTCTATGTGAACTTCTGCGACTAGATTTAGGTGCCCTTGGGACCTCAGTTTCGTTTCCGGAATCAGATTCCTCGTCATGCTGTGAACTCTCATGTGTAGCACTCGACCTTGAAGTTCCTGTCGAAGAACTTGCTGCAGATGCAGGGGCCCTGGGGTTGCTACTTCTCTTGGAAGCACCAGATCCCCTGCTTGTCGAGGAAGGCTCAGCCATTCTAGTACTACCACTATCTTTCCTGTGTCTTTCAGTCTCCTCACGTGGTTTATCATACTGGACTTCGTTTGGGTCGTGGCTTCTTCGATGAGGCTCATGTCTATCCCTGACAATATCAACATTTCTACCATGTGTTGTGGGATTCAATAACCTGCTGGGTGCAACACTTGGTGGCGCCCGCTGTACAGATTCCGCATAATCTACATATTCGGGATCAGGTTCCATGAGCCTTAAACCCCGAGCAAATTCTTCCCTTCTTCTATCGTCATCCTTTTGGGATCTATCACATAAGAATTAGTCTTCGCGAAGTTCAACGCAACCAACATAGATTGACAAATGGCACGGGGGGCTATAACTTACCCCTGAGTATTTGATGTTCTGTGTGATTTGCTTTTTCTACCTGCATCAGATTGCCGTAATGTTTGATCTGACTGCTCTGACCGCTCTGTTTGCCCTGATGGTGAGTCACCTCTCTTAGATCCTCTACTATTATTTTCTATTGATCTATCTGGTTTTGGTGGTTTGCCTTCTGAATATTCAGTTGGGGTACGACTACTGTGAGTTCGCGCTCCTGATCTACTTCCTGAAATTTTGCTTCTGGCATCTTGCTCTATTGGTGCATTTGTGTTCGATTGTTCTAATTTTCTTGTTCTTGATGAACTTCCTGAGATTACGCTTTCATCATCTTGCTCTGGCTTCGGCTTTCGACTTGATCGCTCTGTTTTTGATGTACTTCCTGAAATTACACTTTCATTATCTTGCTCCGTTCGACTTGATCGCTTTGTTTTTGATGTACTTCCTGAGATTACGCTTTCATCATCTTGCTCTGGCTTCGGCTTTCGACTTGATCGCTCTGTTTTTGATGTACTTCCTGAAATTACACTTTCATCATCTTGCTCCATTCGACTTGATCGCTTTGTTTTTGATGTACTTCCTGAGATTAGACTTCTATTATCTTCCTCTATTGACGCCTTTCCACTCGTCTGCTTTGAATTTGGTGCACCACTCTCAGATTTCTGATGTGTACTTCTTGCTTTTGATGCGCTAACTTCGCGAGCTTCTGACTGGGTGTGGTAACTCTCAACTGAGATCTTGGGACGAAGCGTTGGCGGACGTTCTTTATCTTTGCTTTCATCATCATTTCGCTCTGTCATCATCTTTTTTTCTGCGTATCCTAATTGTAATGTTTCGTTCTTAGGAACATGACCATTGCTACTACGACCCGCACCGTCTTGATCCTTCGAGCGCCTGCTGCTTTCACCAGCTTTCTTGCTGGGATCTTTAGGATGTTTGTCATTTTTACTGCCCTTGTCCTCTGGTTCTTTTTTTGGTTTATGGTAGACCAAAGCATTGGTTTTTGTCCCATCCTTTTTTGTCCTTCCTTGTATTTCTAGTATTCCTGTATCTTTCCTTTTCAGTGTCTCTTTCTGATCCTCATGGGGCACCTTTTTTAGATCACCTCCAGTTTTGATAACCTGTTTAGCTAATTTGATTTGTCCTCCTATGGCTGTTCCTGACATGATGGCTTGCTGTTATAAAAGGAAATTGGTTGTGGCAAAGGTGTTATGTTTTTGTAGTAGAATAAAATGAATTCAATGAACGATCTCGATAGTATTGCTACTTGCTTGGATGGTTTAAAATGTGTTTATCAAGGTGATGATTGTGCTGATGATTCTATTGAGTGTGTTGTATGTGGAATAATATTTGCTATTCAGAATACTCTGGTATATTTATACTCAGACTCATGTTACACACCCGGTCATCCCAATCATCAATTCCAACTGAAGTGTTCTGTTGAAACCAATATTAATTTCAGATAACTCGTGATGACCTGGTCTCTAGTGCAATCTATTACTACAAACATGCCATAAAGCAGAAATTTGGAGACCGGAGACAACTCACCATGTGGTTGAAGCAGGATTGAGATTATCAACTAGGTCACATTCAAAAACACCACTCATGTAAAAGAACATCTTATGACCTAGCCTAAAATTCATCTTTGATGAATTTACGTACGGCCAAGCCAGTTATATCGAGATGATCCATTTACTGGACTAAAATATGGTTGAGCGATCAACATGTGTCCTTAAGAGGTGGCCATTGCGTTGACCTCTGGTGTCTCTTCAGGGCCACGCTAGAGATTACTATTACCCGCTTTTTGATCGGTTAGAATTTCATGATTCTATTCATAGATTTTGAATTTTGGGGCTCTGGGTCGCTAGACCCCTTTTGAGCGCCCATGGCGCGAAAATCCCACGGGTTGAGTTGGGTAATGGCCGCGACGACCGCCCACTTTAAGCGCAGCGAAACACAACAGTTTATTAGCAATTGTTTTGAGATATTAAATAGAGCAGACATCCCGGGCTGTAATATACTCTGAACCCCCCCCTTTCTTCAATTGACAATTTTCAATCGGAGTTTTATTGCTACTCGTGCCGTAAGCGAACACTCCCGTCCACCAGTGGGTGAACAGACTCACGGGACAGTACAAAAATAAACTTGTGAATATCTTTTGATCTATTGAATCATTTATTTTAGGAATTGTTATAATTCTTGAATAGAGATGAAACAATCAAAATACGAATTCTGATATCAAACAATTGAAGAATGAATTTATGAAAAATATTGAAAATTGGGAAGTGTCCCGTTAGTCCATGCACCCACTGGTGGTCTCCACAGCTAAACGCGAAATTATCTACAACTCACTTGATTATGATACTTACTCCAGAGAACTTTCAAGCAGATAATTAAATTATCGAGATCTATAGAGAAGAAATCGAACGTCCATGAAATAGCCACTACACTTACACAATACAAATATCCGATTTAAAACTTCTTTCTCGATTCAAACCTAAAAATTCTAGTCGAATTTTATGGGTGTTCTCAAAGTGTCACATACCCGTGTCAAATCCGCACACATCTTCTATTAGTAATTGCATAAATCGTACTCAATCACTAGCATCCGTAACACATCATGGATCAAATCAATCCCTATACTTTCAAATACTATAATAAAACATTCCCGAAGCTATCTCGTAAAAGCCACATGGGCATACCTAAAACTACCCCTATCTGTCCACCCCATCATAGCCTCCTTCTCCAATCTAATCCAACCCAACCCAATACAAATCTCGTCCCATCCCATCCATCAAACCCTAAATCCCAAGCTCCACTCCATATCAACATATCAACACATCAAAACACAAGAGCAAACAAACCTACTACTGATAATTCCCAATACCCAGAAAAAATCAAGACCTTCCACATTCCACATTCCAAACTAACCAATATAATCAATATAACCAAGCAACAAATTGAATCAACACATATATACACATATAATTCAAACCAATCTCTCACAACCCACAACCCACAACCCACCCACTAACCCACTCACCAATTTCAAAATCTCAAATCACATTAAGAAAAAACTAAGTTCAATTGTTTATAATAATCAAAAAAATCAAAATCCCTTCTACCATGCTAGGAATGAACATCGACTCGAGCTGTATTTACCTCACTTTGCATTTGCCTGACTACCTATCTACCCATACCCCTACCCCTATCATCAACAAGAACTTTCCCAATCTACTCCTCCAACAACTTCTTCACCCTCCCAAAAACAACCTTAACACTCTCATTTCTTTCGCCCTCGAGTGCCTCACTCATTCCCTTTATCATCTCACCCCTCACCTCCTCTCTCCCCTCACTCCACATACCAAAAACTCCCGCCTTCCACGCCTCTACAATCATTTCCGCCGCTTCTCCCCTCTTAATTCTAATTCCTTCACTTCCGGCTCCACTAGCCAATTCCAACACTTCAAAAAATTGCGCACACATTTTATAGTTATTTTCCTTTTGTGCATGAGTCCTCTTTCTCAATCCATCAAACAACACTTTGATACGTTCGTAAAGTGTTGCGCGCGTAGTTATTGTCATGAGAGGTGATTTGAGAAGGGGAGGAAGGGTTTCGATGAGCTTTGGAAGATGAGTAAGAGGTGATGGATCGAGATGTTTAATATTGATACCTCGAAACAAAGCTTCGATACCCGCAGTTATTGTTTCCGATTCCGTGGACTCTCCTCCCTTGCTAACTCCATCTTTCTTCCTAGAATCAGAAGTCGAAGTAGTTGTACTTGTATCCATGTGATCTTCACTACTCAAATCTTCTAATATAGGTGTGATCATATTATAGATCTCATCCCACATATCTACCTCTGTTCTTGTTTCTGCATATTTGCCTAGTTCTGCAAAAGCGAATGGTCGATAGATGTCATTATTACGTTTAGCTTCTCTGATTGCAATCTTCTTTGTCTGAGCTGCGATACTGGATTCGGCATCTAGGAATGCAGTAGATGCCTTTGCGAATTTCACAAAACTAGCCAGTACAATTTCCTTTCCGGCAAAAGTTTTGAGTGCAAGAGCTTTTTCGAGAGCAGGCCAAATGAGAGCAGATGTTTCGGCAGGAATCGTCGGCGATGTGGTGGAGGTTGTGGATTTGACAACATCGGCTATAGTTAGAGCGGCTGTATGTTTGATAGTCCATTTGGGAGAGTCAATATATTTGAGCACTAACTCGTTGATTTCTCTTGTATATAATAAGACCGCTCTGCTTCCCCCTACATTTTCATCCCAAGTTTTCTCAAATTGCTTCTTAGTCGCATCGTCGAAATCATGCTTAGCAAAGAAGACAAAAGGGACTATAATATTTGGAGTCAGCGTTTAATTCGGGTTTAGATTGCACATTCGACCTGAGCTAAATGTTTGATGAATTCGGGTATCAGAAGAATTGTCAAAACTTACGGAAATCGGAAGCCAAAGAGTTGAAATGATCTGTGGCGAATTTGGAGATAGCATAAATCAAATCTGACGATACTTGGCGGCGAGTTTCATCCTCGGCACTGAAATAAAGGTCTTGAGAATAAGTGAGAAGTCTAAGAAGTGCTTTATCAGAGGCCAATCGAGAAACATAGCCAGCTGCACGAGCATAAGACGCGCTGACAGCATTATTGCGATCAAGGACAGATTTCTCAATGATTTTAAGAAAGTGGTCGGCGTGAGGGCGAAAGGTGACGCTATGACGAGTTGCGAGACTGACAAGAACACCACCGCAACCAACCTTAGATGGCATACCGACAGTGGTCTTGATCACATTTTCGAGGTGAGGAATAAATTCTTTCATGGTAGGTTCGTCGATGATATCAAGGCAACGCTCGATAGCTTCCATGAGGGGAGATTGAGTAACAGCATTTGTGCGGGCACTATCAATTTTCTCTTCGGTGAGATTGTAATGAGCGGCACGTAGGTATAGATAGTCAACACCTTCCATTTCCATAGTACTCAAAAGACCCAAAAGTCGCTCAACGAGATTGGGTACAAATGGCAAAAGTGCTTTACCACCACTCTTGATAAGTTTGAGTACGGTAATGGTTGCGAATGTTCGGACTTCTTCGGCCGAACTTTCGAGGCCTTGATCTGAAAGTAAAAATGGCAACACATCTTTCAACATTGCTTGTGCATGCTTCGAAGATGTACCTGCCTCTACTTGTCGGACAAGTATACCAGTAAGAGCCATACTAGAGTTCGCAAGTCAGTGAATGTATATCAAGGAAAAATTCCGGAGAAGCGATTATCCAGAGCAGCGCTTCCAACGCTAGAGCTGTGAGAGATGATGTAGAATATATAAAGGCAAGACATCCCAATACTGTCAGATATCCTAGAATATAAAAAACGGACACAACACATACCTAAGAGACAAAGCTGCTTTTCTCACGGATCCCTTAATATCATCCAGAACTTTGAAAGCCACATGCCAAATATCATGAAGATATTTTTCATACTTTTCGAAATCTCTACCTTGAACTAAATCAGCAATGGCAGCACAACTTGCTTCTCTTGTTCGCCATTCTTTTCCTAAAATACTTTTCAACAAATCTGTAATGATCTCGTCAAAATATTGATTAACAGTAGCATTTGAGTCTTTGACGAGTGCACTCCAAATATCATTCATGGACCGCTGTACATTAGGATTTGGATCAAATCGATATCGGTACAATTTTGGGTATAACTTGGGATCAATCTCAGATTCGGAGAGAATGTTACTTAAACCAAATCTATAAATCATATGTTAGCGGACGAGTCAGAATTCAACATGGAAGAATCAATTACTTACCGACCAAATGCTGCTCTAGTAGACCAAGTAGCCGCATTTGTAGCAAGAGACATAAATTTGTACACAAGACTTTGATCGCCAACCTCATTGGCAAGACTAACAATATCCTTGTATGATGTGATGGATTTGCCCTCGCCGGTAGGAAGTGCACCAGGCTCAAACAATTCAGTTTCTTCATGAACCTTAATTTGAGTGCTGGTACCAGTAAAGCTTGCCACAAGATCCTTGACAAGTCTTTCTCTGAGTTCTTTATCACCTTGTTCATAAACAAGACTTAAGCCCCGAGAAGCAGTTTCTTGTACGATTTCTTCACGTGCTGAAAGCAGTCCCATGAATGCAGCTTGGCACTCACGTAGTCGTGCTTGAATTTGCTCCAAATGTCCACTGTATTGAATTAAACAGAAAAGCCAGATACCAGATGCCTTTTTGAGTGATGGCTTCGTGGTTTTACAGTCTTGTAAAAGCTTTTCAAGAATCTTCTCAAAAGTATGCGATCGTTTGGGACGTCCAGTATATCCAGCATCAACATCCAAACTGATTTGTAAGACCTCCGAGTCCCAACAAGCACCAACGCAACTGAGAGCTTCACCAATAGTGAAATGAATTTCAGGTTGCTTCAACTCATACAAATCATAGAGACCTTTGATGATAGTATGGAGCGGACTATCTCCTGTGGAAGTATCAGGCTCGTCGAATATAATGGAAAGGCGACCCAGGGTTGACATTGCCTTCTCATTTGCTTTCTTGGCCTCAGCAAGTAGAAGTTTAACAAGACCGTCGATTTTGAGAGGCGATTTCTCTATAATTTCTGTTGTCAAAACTCCCGATGCACTTGTCTGACCAACAGCGTTCAGCACAGCTTCTCTCGTTGATACGTCTTTTACACCTTCGATTATGGTCAAGAATTGTGCGAGAACTTCTCCTACAATCTCTCCTTGAATAAAGCTACTACGTCCGTAATAGGATGATCTACTTAACACATAGCCCAGTGCAAGAATCGATCCGTGTACTTTATTTGCATCAGCACCCACAGCCGTTGACCAGAGTTGTACATCAGTCATGAGTATCTCGATTAGTTTCTCGAGAGAACCTTCATCCCTATCTGAATGAGATGCGAGGATACCAATGGCTTGAGCTGCAAGGAATCTGGTTGCAACATTATTGGATCTAATACACGGAAGAAGTTCAATAGATCTCTCCGCCAGTCGACCAATAACATCCTTTGGCGCAATTGAAGCGATTTCTACAAAACATTTGCCACACTCTCCTAATCCATTTCCATCATTACGTAGCATACCTTCAAAAGCAGCTGAAAGATAGGTGTATAACGCGTCCTGATCAACAGTCATGATATGGTCTTTCATGGCTTTCCTTGAAATTTTGTCAGAGCGAAACAGTACATCTAGTTGGCGTTCCCAGTCTGCGTCGATTCCAAGGGGCGTTTCAGTCTTTTCCAGAGCACGTAACAATATTATTCTCCTGCAATAGTTTATAGCTGCTGGAAAAGCATTAATTCTTGTACCGGAGAAATTTCCAAATACAGACACGCTGTCGACTTCCATACCAGTTTTCATGGCATTGGCAATATTGGAGTTCTCGACTAATGCTTGAGTGCCGAAAAAGACTTTAATCATCTCGTTCCATTCAGGAAGTGGGCATTCGACAGAAGCACTGGTAGAATTAAGAAGTCGATACCAATATGGATCCTGGATAAAATCAGTTTGAGTTCCAAGCGAGTAGTTGCCGATAGCCTAGGTTGTAGCTCAAAGAAAACTTGTAATTTTAGGAAAGCTTGAAGGCCCCAAGAATGACTCCATAATCTGGACCTAATTGAAATGTTTTACAGATTTAAGAAGTTCTCTTTATCAAGCTACAATTCAGACTATTGGAATGTCAATATGGATAAACTTACCAGACCTTTTGCTCCCTCTTCTATAACATCACTACGCTCATCTGTGCGTGCACTTAATGCAAGGATATCTATCCAACGAGCTACGATATCGCTATACTCTAAGCATCGATTTGCCCAGCGAACAGTTGCAAAACGAGCACTTCTGACGATTTCGCCCTCTTCCTTGAGTGTCATATATTTGAGGAGTAACAATCTGAGTTTATCCCGAAGATTTGAAGATAAAGGTGCTTTGAACGCACTCAATAAACTCGCTAATGCTCCTTCTATGCTCACAAAGATATCATCAGATGAGCCTTCTTCTGTGAGTGATCGAAAAAGCCAACGAATTAAAGAAAGATCCTCTTCAACAACGATGGATGGTGTAGTCTTCGCAAGTGAGCCAAGAGTTTCATAAGCTAAAGCTCGTAAAGAAGTTGCGTCGGAAGATCTCTCATGAGGTATTGGCCATCCTTGATCTTCAATATAAGTCCTTAAGAATCCGACAAGCTGTGGTGCAACTTGACTGAGATCGTGAATGGATCCTATGCGAGATACCCAATTCATGTAATTGAACAATGCATTTCGAAATTTAATAGTTTCTAAGCCTGGTGCAGGGAGATTTGTGTTATCATCAGGTTGAACTCCATCTTGCACAATTTTGACGATATCAGTAGGAAAGGTAGTTGAAATTGCGGACTTCGTTAAGAGTACAAGCACCCTCGTCTTTAGCGCGGGTTTGAGACTAAAATAGATGCCTAGCAAATTGCGTACAATTTCAGCATCTTCCAATGAAACACTTGAACGCTTTACTAGGTCGTCACCAATGCTCGAAATACGAGAGTTGGTGTCAGCAGACGCGAACAATGCAGGCAAGAATCTCTCCTCATCTGTAAAAGCACCAGAAGCAAGAAAATTGAGGACTGTGATTTTTGTTTGGGTGAGATTCAATCCTTCACTTGAGGTTGGATCCCATGCTTCTTGTTTGCCGTTGAGTGTTAAGAATTCGTATTCTTTGACGGTAAGTCCTGGGCAAGTTACTCCAGATGGCGCTGCTCGTACAATAGATAGCAGTACAAGCTTTCCAAACCACGATGCTATAAATTTTGAATCTTCTTGGTGTTCATCAAGACCTAGTTGGTGCCTCAATTCTGTATCTTCTTTACTTCCACGAGAAGGTACTTTGAGTTGCGGTAAGAGACGAAGAAATAGATTAAATATAGTAGCACAAGTTGGCTTCTCAGCATCTTGAGCCAACCCATGTATTAATGTTGGAATTAAATCCATTTGGTCCTGGAGACAAATTAGACCAAATGATCCGCCAAAGTCTCTTAAAGCATCACTTACCTTGGAAGATAGTTTGCCCACACTTTGTTGAATGAACATGAGATCAAAATGCCGTAACATTGATGATTCTGGATGCTCTTTATATTGCTTTAAAAGAGCTGCCACGGGTAATACAATGTCCCTGCAAAATTAATCAGTAAATTTTCAAGAATATCGAGCAAGAATCCCTGACTTGTTACCAGCAAGGCGAATTTTGATATGTTGACATGTTGAAATGACCTATGACAACTAAATTAGCAAGCATTTTCATTGGCAATAAATTATATGACGCTCCTCCGGCCCCCCAGGAGCCACTACTGCGGGGTAACAATATTTGGAGATATAATATCAAGAGTGACAGGACTATTTAGAGAGAAGCTTTCCTCTATCCTCCACCCGCCCTCCCCACCATTCTCCCCGACCACGTACTTCCCCCAAAGAAATCAAAAACCACAGCAATATCAACAGTCTCCCCTCCTCACTCTTTTCTGCTCCTCCAGACCCAAATCCGCAACCAAATTCAATAAAAATAACCTCAAACAAACCACGTACCTTATTCCTAACACTCTGATGTTCACTCGCAAGTTTAAGAAGCAACGGTGGCAAATACGGTTTCAATATAGCTTCAAGTTTATCATCTTTCGCCAGCGCAATCCGCATTTCCACTTTCCCAACGAGTTCCAGTTCTCTAGCTTCGGTAGTTGTCGCCATATTGATGTAATCTCAAGGTTAAGTAAGGTTCCAATCCTCTGTATGTGTATTCTCTCGGTCTACGAAATTTGAAATCGTGAAAGAAGGTAGATTTCTTTTTTTTAATAGAATGATTATCGTGAAGCAGAAAGAAAGCAAGAAAATGAATTTCGTATTATTTGAAAGAAGTAAAATGAAAGCGTTACGAATTCATCCGCGCCTTCCAGCTTCCTTCTTGTGCGCGTCAAATCTGCCTTAAGATACACGCCGGTGGAAGATAATCACGTGACGTGTCATCATTTTGGTCTTAAATACGAGGCATTTATACTGACCACCTCAGTCAAACCAAAAACTACAACTCCTATTTCCATGTTGATTGAATAATTAAGAAACAGTTATTTCAATATCCAAGGGTGAAGAAACTAATCGAATTCAATAAATATGCCATATTGTAAATTCAAGAGCCATTTTTTACATTTTCCGTGATACATAACCTCCAGGAAACAGAATCTGGACGATTTTCCGTCCCACTTCCCATCTCATTCAAGACAAGATTGTTTCCTTGATTTCATTCACACTGCAAACTTCATTGGGTTATAGGACTGGTATTAAGGTTCTAGTATATGTTGTTATGATTCATGTGAGAGTAACGCTTGGATCTGATATTCGAGTGACATGTTCATGAGAGACAGGCTGAATTGATCTTTCCTTGAATGCCACCAATGAATCCCTCAGTCAAAGCCGTACAAATGAGAAGCAATAGGTAGGTAAAATGGACAAGCTTCTAAAACCTAGGTTTCCTCCCTCTCCTTTCCTCAAATCCTCTTCCATAGCCTTGTACTCTGCCCAACCACCATCTTCACTTCTTTCTTCCTCAAAACCGTCATCCCCCCCTTTCATCCTTCATCTTTACTCACCCATCGTTCCTCAATTACCAAATCCAACCACAGGCCGTCACTGTACTCTCTCCAAGCCCGCAGGCAAACCTATCTCTCTTGAAGGAGAAAGCATAATAGACAAGTCAACGTCAGAATGATTTCTCGGGCCTCTCACGTAGTCCAATTGAACAATGGAACAGGAGATGATTCAATGGGGAATTTCATAAAATGCATTAGAACAATACAGCCTTGGTCGTATACTACTTACTATCAAGTGCAAACACAATAATTCAATACAACTATAACTCACAATTCACCATTACCATTGACGTTCACGAAAGTCCTTATGTACACGATTCATTCAACAAGAAATCAAAAAACAGTTCCTATCATGCGATTGCATTTGGTTTGGAGACAACAAGAAAATAGTGTTAGGTGAGTACGTTAGGCTATTCGCTATGACAACATTGATATGTAAGAAATCCGAGGGATATCTAGACCAGAAAAAGCACGCCAACCACAGAGTACGCAATCCCCCAATGTGTAAAAACTTATAAAAGAGATTACGAGAATGGGCGATCTATTGTCCTGCCATAGAGGCACTGTGTGTTCTGAGAGGAAAATATGCATTCTGTCGAGCAGATACTTGTACGATCAAACTTCAAGAATCCTTATCTCGTGAGAATGAGGAGAAAAGGGTGACCATTTGTTAAAAGACAAGCAACTGACTTGAGAATACCGCAAGGAAACATCGCAATCAGAAAAGAAAAACATTGATCATCAGGATTCACAAAATCTTGGTGCCTTTGACAAATCGCAAGTATTTGCAAATATGCACCTAATTCTGCTTTTCATATCAACTCCTATGCCCTAGCCATCATGCTGCAATCACTCCACCAGCAAGCTAGGTATATTCCAGCCACTCCAGAAGATGAACAACATCAAAGAACGAAGACGAAGAGATTCCGAAACAGTTAAGAGATCTAAGATTCAGGTGCAGGGGCAGCCTCGGTAGCTGGCTCATCTGCCTTGGTCTCTGGCTCGACTGCCTTCTCAGCCTCCTTTGGTGCATCACCAGCAGCGGCAGCCTCAGGGTCACCGTTGTCGGATGAAGTCCAGAGGGTTAAGTTATCTCTGAGAAGTTGCATGATAAGAGTGCTGTCGCGGTAAGACTCCTCGGAAAGCGAATCAAGCTCGGCGATAGCATCATCGAAAGCTTGCTTGGCAAGATGGCATGCACGGTCTGGGGAGTTCAAGATCTCGTAGTAGAATACAGAGAAGTTAAGAGCCAAACCGAGACGGATTGGGTGGGTTGGGGTCAACTCTGTTTGTGCGACATCGGTAGCGTTCTATTTATGTGATTAGATCGTGTCATTCAATGAAGAGAGTTGGGATAATGTATACCTTGTAAGCCTCGTGAGCAGCAGTAGCAGCAACCTTGCGCTTATCACCAGAGGCAAACTCGGCCAAATAACGGTGGTAGTCTCCCTTCCTGTACCAATCATTAGCCAGAAACTCAGGAAGCCGTGGAATCCGGCGCAAAGAAATGTGAAGCGATAAGACTTACATCTTGTGGTAGAAGACCTTGGACTCTCCAGACTCAGCTTTTGGGATCAAGGACTCATCCAAGACGTCGAGGACATCTTGGCAGACCTTCTCCAACTCGGTCTCGATCTTTTGACGGTAATCACGGATGGTGGAAACGTGCTTATCGGTACCCTTGGACTCCTCTTTCTGTTCGATCGAGGAGATGATGCGCCAGGAAGCACGTCTGGTGCCGACAACGTTCTTGTAGGCGACAGATAAGAGGTTACGCTCGTCAACGGTGAGTTCCCCGCCCAACTGCATCACGCGTCATCAGTATTTTGTATATCGCGCCGCAATCTGCAACGGCAAACAAATGAATTTGGGAGTCGCATACCTTGGCCACCTCCTTCATGTATGTAACCATCTCATCGTAACGTTCAGCCTGCTCGCAGAGCCTAGCAAGGAAAGTCTTGCTGTAAGGTAGTCGTTAGTACCACGTACGTCAAGTAAAGGAGGGTTTTGGGAGCCGCATGGAAACAAATCGAATCATACCTTTCACGCTGCAATTATCATAGTATTAGCATAAAGCTCGAAAAGAGTAAATAGACAGGACAACAATGTAAACATGCTGTTGGATGGCAGTTGGGGGGGAGGGGGTAAGATTCGGGAATATTGACAAACGATGGAGGGGGAACGAATTCAAGGGAAAAGTGAAATGGAGAATGAGATTCACAGTAGCAAGCAAAGGGATTTGAACTTACTTCAGTAGTCATATTTGCTGATGTTTGAAGGGTATTGTTTTGTTGTAAATAGTATTAGGTAGAGAGAGAGTCGAAGTGGTTAGATGGAAAGAAGGTTTTGTGGTTGGGTTTCTTGGTGGTTTATTAGAGAAAGATGGGAAGTTTGCAAGTGCAAGAGTTGGGTATTAAGTGCGAGGAAGATCCAATCCATGGATCTGGTGTGAAGGTAATAATGGAGAAACTGACGCTAATTGTGATTGATTCAATAACCGAGCGGTCAATATTATATGATTGATTGTTGTTGGTAGGAGGAAAGGACTTGGAATAGATGTGAATGAATGCTTTTTTTTCCATGGTAAGATACGGTAACCATCAATTCATTGGAAAATAATTAAAAAGAAATAAAATTACATGTAATTTAATTCTGAAGGGAGTGAATACGTCCCAGTATTGGATTATTGGATTATGAGTGTGATATCGTCACAAACGGAGCACAATACCCAAGTTCAAGGGATTTCTATTGACTTTGAATGACACAAAGCAATCCCTCAACTCAACTACCTACCTAGGGAGGGAGGAGGGAGGAGGGAGGAGGTAGCAGTACCATAGTGTGGATGTATCAAATAAAAGATCTTCACAAGTGAATGAATGATTCACATCACATCACGGAGTATATTACACAGGATCCTATGGGACAGGAGCCAAAGAAAGAAAGTTTTTAGAATGCTTCTAGAATGAAAGATAATGAAAGATATGGTGATATGGTGATATACATCCCTCATACTGTGTACGGAATAATGTCAATAACAAAATTGATAAGTAGAGTCTCAATTCACTGGCACGGAGATGCGACATTTGTTAGCCAATACCTCAATAATCATTATTTCATTGGTCTTCATTAACTGAGGGGTTCAATAGATATTACCCAGGTAGGTACGAGTAGTTGTGGTCGGTATCTCTTCTACCCAATACATGTATGGCCTCACCTTACCTATCTTCTCTTCTCTTCTCTTCTATCTTACCTACACCTACACCTACATCCTATCAAAAGAAGATCATTGAAACTTGATATCTGGCGGGCTGATGTACAATGATGAAGGAATGAGTCAACTTTTGTTGTATGGCAACCCTCTTAAATTACACTCCTTGACAAACAGCGAAAGGATCATATCCTCCCTACCATACATTCAAAGGCATATCGAACATTACGAGATTTTAGAGATTCTAAGGAGTAATCGTAGGGATTCTTCAGAAACATAAAGCTTGGTCTGGCCTCAACTATGAATAAAGTCATGAGTCCCTTGATCCATTAAAGGGTGTTGGTATGGGATATCTGCCCCACGCAGATGTGGATTGTTTCCCTTGTGACAAGTGGAAATTCAACAACAACCTCAAAGAAATGTTTGGAGTATCCGCATGGCGAAGTATTGTTCTTGTCTCCCTAGTAGGTGTAAAGTCAGAAAGGATTAAGTCTTCATCAAATACAGAACACTTTACCAATAATTTGTCTCATTAGTGAAAAGGGTCACCATCAATTCCAGGGTTTAGTTGCAATCTAGAAAATCTAGGGATTGAAGGCAGAACTTCCGGTAATCTGATAATGGGGAGCTATCAAGGATTTGTGTCTCAAGTCTATTTCCTACATATTGGTTCAAGATCATATTATAACTTATTCGCCTTCGATTTGATCGGGATCGACAAAGCCCCTGTTTGCTTAATTCTATTGCATGCTTATGCCTATGCCTATGCATTCAATCCCAAATTTCAGACGAAAGACGAAAGACGAAAGACGAAAGACGAAATACCAACCTGCCTTCAGTCAGATCAAGCGGTTCATCACAACGCTTATGAGATCCGAGGGCTTCAGGAGTGTTGG